TCTTGAATAAAACTTATTTAGATGTGAAAGAAAAGAAAGAGAGGAAATATTTGTTCAAGAGAGACCAAGTTTCTCTAAAGAGGAAAAAAAGCCAGCAAAATAATCCAGACAAGCAAATGAGATTATGTGTTCAAGGTAGAACGCAGGCTGGAAGAGCAAATCCTATCGAATATCTGGATCATAATTCCTGTTCCAGGTCGCTGCATCATGAGGAAAGTATATACTTGCTATGTACAAAAGAAATCAACAATAAAATCAGGGAAGGGAGTTGAGAATGAAGAGTCTCATAAGACATTCCCGTGTGTGTGTGTGTGTGTGTGTGCGTGCACGCGTGCGCGTGCTTGGTTGCTCACGTGTGTGTGAGCTCATTCATGCAAAGCATTCTTAGAAGTAGCTGCTAGGTGTGGGACCTGTGACTGAGATCTCCAAGCCCACTTGAACGGGACTGGGCCTCCTCCCCCCAGGTCCCCAGTTTTCCAGTAGCTTGGCAGTCACACCCACAAATTACCCCCAAATGCCATGTAATCTCACCAATGGCCAAGACCCAGAGACTATAAACTAAAGCTCTGGGAAGAAAGCATTTGCGGCCATGTGACCTCTTATACTCTAGCCCACTTACTTACCAAGAGTAGCACACAGCATTTGATTGGGTTTATCAAACATGTTTGTAATGTCTTATACAAGGGCTTAAATGGCTCCGGAATGAAATACAACAACCTTCACACACTTTCCTTTTACGATGTTGGGAAAGTGCTCCGTGGTAGGATTGGCGTTTGAATATTGTCTGTAATGAACTATTGTGAACTACTGTATGAAAATAAAATATATAAAAATTGCAAAAAAAGGTAGCTGCTAAAGAAAAATAGCAAGCATAATTTAAAGTACAAAATTTGAAGAAACATTGTTTATCAGTTATTTAGTACGGGATTTGGCAAACACCCAGTGGTGCTTAGGGACTATTCCTTAACTGTCAAAACCTTGTTCAGCCTATGTTCTCGTGTGAAGACTTAATTCTCCCTTTTTCTTCTCTCTCCCTCTTTCCCTGTTCTTTTGTCCCTCTCTCACCCCCCAAAAATGTCTCCCTCCCCTAACATTTCTCTAAGTTTCGTCTTTAAATAAAACGATTTTACTTCAAAAGAAGGCTTATAAAAAAACAATATTTAAATTCTATCCGACTCAAGTCATAATGATTTTAGTCAAATATTCAAATTAAATAAATGAGCAATAAATAAATTGAAAATAAATGAGTAATGTCATGCTGCCATAACAAAAGTACATAGTTTTGAGGATTTACATAATTTATTTTAGTAGAAACTTTTCATAATATTCATTATTTAAATAATTATGCTTTATTGGAGGAAGTATAAATTGTTTTAAAATAAAGACCAACATTGAATCCAGATTAAAAGGATTGGAATTGACACGTTTCTCACCGCTCCAGGACCTTTTGGATTTTACTCAGTACATCTTAGAACTAATTCTAATCTTTCGCAATAATAAATCCTAGTCTTTAGGAAACAGCCAGTTTTTTGAACATTGAAAATTTTAAAATATGGTATTTAAATGAGAAAAATGATATTTAAAAGGCACTGGAAACGATTACGAAGGCTTTGGGAACAACTGGAAACAGCAACAGGTTAATTCCATCCAGAATACGCTGCCCTTTCAGGCAAGCTAGGCCGGTGTTGAACTTCAGAGCACGGGTGCCCTCTGGTGGCCGAAAAATATACCTTATAAATCCGTATCACAGCCCCACCAGGTGCTGGACTGTCGAATCAATTTCCGCTTCTTTTTCAGATTGAAATAGCTACGGTGATGCCTTCTGGGAACAGAGCGCTTCTCACCCCGCCCCCACAGTCAGAGGAGGCAGAAGATGAGGAGGAGGAGTCCACCCCGAGGCTGATCGATGGCTCTTCACCCCAAGAACCTGAATTCACTGGGGTTCTCGGCCCACACACGAGCGAAGGTCGGGTCCATCAAAGCTGAATTTATGATAAAATCTGACGTGGTGACTCCCCCAAACTTCCAAACTCAGGGATTTTAGGAAATAGCAAATTTTAGGAGAGACCAGGGCAAAATAGAAGATATAACTGTATTTTGTATTCAAATATGAAGCTCTTTGGGATAATTCAGCTTTGGCTTGATGGGAATGATCCATTAGTTTCAGATTTGGAATGGGAAAAAAATTGTCTATCATTATTGCTCAAATTTGTGCCGCCAAGTGTATTTCTAGAACAAAGGATGCTCTTTTGGCAGGATCAGAATCTGTGAGTTATCTGCCCAGAGCAACTCAAGGTTGCAAGATCATGATTATGATAGTGATGTCTTTGCCCTTAATTTTGGAGCTACAAAACTTACCTTAAAATGACTATTCTCACAGACTATGTATATGTGTTGGGGTGGAGGGCACAACCCACCCAGAGGTGCTCAGGGCCTAGTCCAGACTCTCCACTCAGGAGCAACTCCTAGCAGAGCTCGGGTTACAATACCTGATGCTAAGGATTTGAACCACCACAGGCGGAACTTTGCAAGGCAAACGCATTAACTCCTGTACTATCTCTCCAACCCCTCACAGATATTTAGAGACGTTATTGTGTCAATAGCAGCTAATATGAGCAAATTCAGATCATACTGAGAGAGAAAATGAGGGAAATCATTTATTTGTTGGCTTTGGTACTTGCTTGGTAGCCATATCGAACAAGGCATTCAACATATTTTGCTTTTATTTTCTCATATAAATATGGTAATAAACAGTATATATCATCAAACGGGGCTGGAGGGATAGCTCAGCGGGTAGGGCGTTTGCCTTGCATGCAGCCAACATGGCCGACCTGAGTTCGATTCTTCTGCCCCTCTTGGAGAGCCCGGCAAGCTACCGAGAGTATCTCGCCCGCACGGCAAAGCCTGGCATATTGAATACAAGTGATGTATTCAATATGCCAAACACAGTAACAAGTCTCATGATGGAGACGTTACTGGGTCCGCTTGAGCAAATCGATGAACAACGGGAGGACAGTGACAGTGACAGTGATCATCAAACGAAGTCATTGTGAGGATTAAGTAAATGAGTAAACTCATTGTAAGAATTAAGTGAGTCATTGAAGGATTAAGTGCCTGGTCCACCGTGAACATAAAAATATTCACTATGATCATTGTACTATTATTGAGGGAAGAGTATCTTCTGGTTTCTAATTTCACAATTTGTGTGTAATGGAATATTTTTAGCTACAGGCCTCTGTTGTACTACAGATAACTAAAACTAAGTCAACTAGCATCACTAAAAATCTTAGAAAACTGAACACCTCTACATTTTCCCCTCCACGAGCTCCTATTTCCATGAGTTTTTGGAAATTTGTTTTTTATAAGGAAAGAATTGGTTTATGGGAGTGTAAATAGTTTAACATATTAGGGATACAAAGTTACCACAACAGGATGATATCAAAGAGCGTATTGGAGCTTTTAATTGATTAGAAATAAGTAATGTAAGAAGGGATCTTTTCCAAAGTATTTTATTTTAAAGTGGCTAACGAGGTTTTCTGGACATCAATTCATTAGTTACTTCAATGCTATGAATTATTCTCTTATCTCCATTTTATTAAGATAAAATCTGAAGCTACAACAATACAACAAAACTTTCCAACATTATAAGTAGTGGTGTTGGAATCCAGTGATCACTACACTTTTGAGGTAGTGGGGATTGAATCACACCCTTTGGTGCTCAAGGTTTGCTCCTGTCTCTGCACTGAAGTGTCACTTCTGGAGATGCCCAGGGGTGCACATGCGGTGTGAAGATTAAATCCCACTTAAGGTGTGCAAGGCAAGCACCTTACCTACAGTGCTCTCTCCCACCCAAGACCATTAAATCTTGATGAATATCTCATATTCTTTCCACTGGTTAATGTGAGCATTCTGCAAAGAGAATTGGGAAGACAACATTCAATGGAAAGGAAATATAAAGTACCCAGTAGGAAGCCCTCAAGATAAGGAAATTAAATAGCCCTAGAACATTACTTACTTTTAAGTAAATTCATATCCATCAAAGGTTGACTTATCTAGTAACATCACCAGTTCCAGGAACCTTTTCAATTCAGCCAAGAAAAACAGAAATTCATAATGTCTATATTTTAATAACCTTCAGTCAATATTATGGTTTAAAAAATGTTAGTTTAAAAATAATATTTTAACTATGTTCTTACTAATACTAAGAGTATATGACACAATTTTTGTCTCTAAAGTAATCCGAAGGACAGAGCATTTTTCACAGCAAATAGAATATTTGCCTCACACACTGCTGACCCCCATTTGGATCCCCAGGAACCCTTCTAGTCCCCGGAGCCCACCAGGTGTGATCCAGGAGCACAGATTTAGGAGTGAGCCCTGAAAGAAGCAGGGTGCTTATATTTGACATTTTCTTTTTTAATTTTTTGTTTATTTATAACTTCTTTTAGTGAAACACCATAAGATACAGTTGTAAACTTACAAATTTTTGTGCTTGGGTTTCAGTTATACAATGATTGAGTACCTATCCCTCCACCAGTGCTCAATCCCCACCTCCAGTGCTCCTAGTATCCTTCCCACCCAACCCCCATTCCACCCCACCACTGTGGCAGGGCATTCCCTTTTGTTCTCTCTCTCCTTTTGGGTGCTGTGGTTTGCAGAAGAGGCATTGAGTGGCAATCATGTTCGGTCAATAGTCTACTTTCAGCATGCGTCTCTCATCCTGGGAGGATCCTCCCAACACCCTTTACTTGGTGTTCTCCTCTCTATCTGAACTGCCTTCTCCCCCAGCATGTGTGGCTGGCCTCCAAGCCATGGAGTGAACCTCCTGGTACTTATCTCGGCTATTCTTGGGTGTTAGTCTCCCAATTTGTTACTTTATATTCCCCCAGATGAATGCAATCTTTCTATGTATGTCCCTCTCTTTCTGACTCATTTCGCTTAGCATGATACTTTTCATGTAGTACCACTTGTATATAAATTTCATGACTTCATGTAATCTAAAAAATATGGAATGCTTCACGAATTTGCGTGTCGTCCTTGCGCAGGGGCCATGCTAATCTTCTCTGTATCATTCCAATTTTAGTATATGTGCTGCCAAAGCGAGCACTTGACATTTTTTTTGGTATTCTTTTCTTTACCTCTCTCCCACTTTAGTAATCATCTCTCATTTTACAAACCACACATTTATCTTCTATCGTGATAACAATCTTTCTTTTCTCCTTCACTATTACACATCTCATAGCATTGTTGATGCTTGCTTAGAATTTTCCTCTCCTAAAACTCACTCTATAATTGATTATAACCTGGTCTCGGGATGGCATGGCTAAGCCAAGAGGTTTTATTCGTTGTTGATTTTTCAGTCCTTAAATTACATGAACTCTCAACACCCTCAGATTGTTTCCTGTTGCCTTTTCCTTAAATTCTCTCTCCACTTGGACTCCAGAAACTTGTTTCATCCTGTTTACCTCCTTTCTTTCTGATTATTGTGTTTTTAAAAAAGTCTTTGTCCATGAGCAAAAAGTGTAGGAGGAGTAAGATTTGTATGAAATATGTGCCTCTGTGTGTGTGTATGTGTGTTGGACAGAGATAAATACTTTAGTAAATTAAAAGATAATTTAACTTTCATAAAAACTTTTTTTTTTGCCTATTCTATCATTATCCAAGACATCACTACTTTTTCATGGAACTTTAGTCTTTTCATTTATTTATTTGCGGTTTGTGGCCACTGCTCATGGTTGTGCTCACCACCCTTTTGTCCAATTATTATAAGATAGCCAGGTAAATTACTTTTATCCGACTTACCTCATCCTTCCCTTTTCAGTCACCTTCAAACGGCAAAGTGTCTTCCTAATCACAGATGACTCCTGCTTTTTTGTTTGTTTGGTGTTTGGGGGTATCATTTGGCAATGCTCAGGAGTTACTTCTGGCTCTGCATTCAGGAATCACTCCTGGAGGTGCTCAGGGGATCAGGTGGGATGCCAGGGTTTGAACTAGGTTGGCCACAAACAAGGAAAGCACCTTACCTGCTGTACTATCATCTCTATGGTTCAATTTCTGCTTTGTTTGTTTTGGCATATAAACATAAGAGGCCAAACCTGTGATTCCATCTAGAACTTTCCAGTAAGACCTGTACAACACATTCTGAAGCTCACTCTGTTATAACCAGATTGATGTCTTTCTGCCTTTTCAAAGAGAACGGACATGGCATGTCCTTGGTATATCCTCCTCTGTTAGCATATTTTACCCTACCCTCTGAAAAGCCAATTCTATATTTTCTTCTCAGAAAACTGTGAATCTCAGACTGGTTCAAAATCCTGTAGTTAATGGGAATATTGCTCATATGACATGTCATGAAACTTACCATCACAGTCATTTCATTTATTTGTGTCATTGACACTGATCTCATATAGCAGATCACAAAACATTACTCATTGCTTATTACTATTTCAGTTGCTAGCATACTGTATATGTGAAATGTTTTAGTAAATTAATGTTTAATAAATTAACATTAATTACTGTTAATGATTATTATCCTTTTTCTTGAGTCAGAATTTATTTTAGTGAGGTAATTAATATTGAACCAAAAACTAATAAGGCATTATCTATAATACTCCATTTTAATTTTTTATTTTAATTTTTTGAGTCACCGTGAGATACAGAGTTACAAAGCTTATCATGATGGATTTCAGTCATTAGTATTCCAACACCCATCCCTCCACCAGTGTACATTTCCCATTACCAGTGTCCCCAGATTCCCTGCCACTCTCCCCCAGCCTCTCCCTATCTATGGCAGGCACTCTCCTTCTTTCTGTCTGTCTCTGTCACTGTTTCTCTCTCTCTCTCTCTCTCTCTCTCTCTCTCTCTCTCTCTCTCTCTCTCTCTCCCCCCCCCCCTTTTGGGGCATTACGGTTTGCAATACGGATACTTAGAGGTTATCATATTTGTTCCTGTATCTGTATTCAGAATGCAGTTCTTATCCAGAGTGATCATTTCCAACTATATTTGTCATAGCAGTCCCTTCTGTATCACAATTGCCTTTTTTTCAGCCCTTGAGGCAGGGTTCCTACTGTGGACCAGTCCTCCTGTCCCTTGTTTCTGCTGTCAGTGGGTATTGGTCTCATATTATGTTGTTGTTTTTTTATCCCACAAATGAGTGCAATCATTCTATGTCTTCTGACTCATTTCACTCACCATGATACTCTTCATGTCCATCCATTTATAAGCAAATTTCATAACTTCATTTTTCCAAACAGCTGAATAATCCTTAATTAAAATGATATAAACATAATCACAATTATAATATTTATGTTTGAAAATAGAACACTTAAAATTTCTAGTAGGTAGGAAAGCACAGCCATGTTGCAACCACTCAGTAATTAACCTTTTTTAAATGATAAATTATATGCTAATTGATAGGACAGTTTATTTGGGTAGTTGCCATAAATATCCATTTTCATGAGCTGTATTGGGAAAACATAAAATATACCAGATGGGCTCAGTGAGGTTCCAATGTTCTTTAAAACACACTAAATCATTTCTTAAGACTTGCTTTTGTTATTTATGCCTTATTTTCCTCTACCTTTCAGACTTTCCAACCTGTCTTCTGTGTACGTGTATAAGTACCACCATATACTGTGATGACCATGAACTTGATGCGATCCCTCCACTGCCCAGGAGCACCGCGTATTTCTATTCTCGCTTTAACAGAATCAAGAAGATCAACAAAAATGACTTTGCAAACCTAAGTATGGAGGGCTGCATTTGTCTCCTTTTCTTTAACTGTTTTAGTGTAAAATGTTGGGACTGAGAAGGGAAAAGTGAATACAAGTAGATTTGTCTCATAAATTAATTTTCCCCATATTAAAGTATTCAAGAATTTGGTCATGATATAATAAACAATTAAAGGTTCATAGACACTACATATTTGTTGAATTTTTAAAAATATATTCCAATAATATATCATTGAAGCAATTTTATTTTGCATGCTTTTTCAACATTAGATATTATGATATTGATTGAAAAAATGTCATGGCCATAAACTTACTAAATATTTTATTTGTTTAAATTGGATTCCATCAAATAGTTCTTCTTGATTGACAAATGCTAATCTAATTCTAAATAATTATTGCCAAGTTAGATTTTAATAAATAATTATTGCTATACGTAATTTTGGTAGTAGTTTCCATAGTGAAATTAATTCTATGAAAAATTCTGTATAAAGTTTTTGTATAATTTTGATTTTGAGAGACACTTCTGATACTCAATGTTACTCCTGGATCTATGCTTGGGGGTCACTACCACAGTGCCTGGGACCCTGGAGTACCAGAAACTGGACCATGCTTTGTGTGAAAAACTATATACACAAAGTATTTGTTCAGTCTGTTGAGCACTTTCCTAAGCCCAATGACTTTATATTTTAACGCTAGTGGAAGTTTGTGTCTTGGAAAAGTACAGTATAATATCACAAAGGAAGATGTCTTGATTGGTAAAATCTATAAAATGTTTGGAGTATAAGGAAAACAACAATAATTTTACAGATAACATCTCAAGTCTATCACTAAAGTTTGGTCTTTTTTACAAATATGAATAGTATTCAGTAGAAACAATAATGTTTTATAATTTAGAAATAATCATTTATGCACCTGCTAATGGCTCAATTCATAATTAAGTTTTTTTTGCATGTGAGACCAATCATGATCATATTTCTATGTGATCAAAAATATTACATGCGATTGACCTGCTTTCTCCATTTTTTCTTCTAGATGATTTAAGACGAATTGATTTGACATCGAATTTAATATCTGAGATTGATGAGGATGCATTCAGAAGGCTGCCCCAGCTTCAAGAGCTTGTCTTGCGTGACAACAAAATAAGACAGCTCCCAGAATTGCCAACCACTTTGACATTCATTGATATCAGCAACAATAGGCTCGGGAGGAAAGGAATCAAACAAGAAGCTTTTAAAGTAAGTTTTAAGTTTGGATATGAAAGACTTTAATCTTCCCATTCCATTTGCTGTCAGTGACTAGTCTTTTTATTTCTATAAAGGGATTCAATTTGATGAAACTTTTAGCACCTAATATAAGCCTTGCAAAACGATTTACCATGGATTTTTTTTGGGGGGTGGCAGTATTTTGTTCTGTAACTGCTCAGTTCCCATAACAGAAAGTGGGGAAATTCCCCAAAGCAGCTGCCTAAATCATCTAAATACATAAGTGTCACTGGAAATGATATAAGAGAACATTTATTTCCTAATAACTCCACTCAAGGAGAATATTCTACGTGGTTAAAAGGAATAACTTCTTGTGCGGGTTGTGGGTGGTTTCTAAATTACTTTGTAGGAGGATTGATTCATTTAATCATAGGAATGTTACTTTCTCTATGAAGGAATTGAGATGAGGCTCAAATAACCTGCTAGAATAATAACGCAAGTCTATGAGCATTCGCCACCAGATTTCTTATACATTCTTACTGCATTTTTGCAATTCCTTGTAACATATGCTGGAACAAATACATGTAAAATACTAGTTGAAGAGACCCCATGTCACTCCCAGAGAGAAAACGGATCCACTGACATTAGGCAATGATGGGAGTCTGATCTCTCCTCTGACCTTCTGCTGACACTACCTTGGGGTGGGCCAAGAAGTCAGGTCACTTCTGTGAGTCTCCTGGGTAAGAGTCAAGAGTTCACTTCTGCACCATTGTTGACACTCAAAGGAATGCTAAATCAGTTTGCTCTGTCATGTTTGATCACAGGATCTCTGTGCATCTCTATGAATGTTTTCTGAGTTGCTAGACTATTCTTTTCCTGGTTTCCGGAGACAGAGCTTGGTCTTTCATTGGAAAGAAGTGATTATTTCTCTATACTGTAACACGAAACAATTCTGATTTGCTCACCAACTTCTTACACCTCTAAAGAATATCTTTCATGGGAAGCAATTCCCTTTATATTAATTTTTTTAAATAAAAGTTAGAGCAGACAACAAAAGATTCTACCTAGAGTTTGGGAAGTCTATATATATAAGATCACTGAATCACTGTATTACTGCCATCCCGTTGATTGTTGAATTACTTGAGCAGGCTCCAGTAACATCTGGAGCCTCCCAG